ATGAAAGAATAAAAATGGAATTCCCACACCCGATGCAAGCATAGTGAAGCAATAACTCTGCATTTTTCAATATTTTCATAATATTTCATGAAGTTAAAAGTTACATAGGATACAAATTAGATGCCATTGGCCTATGGCCTCATCTCATACATGTCAAATACATTGTAAAGAGTGTACTTATGTATACATTACAAAAATAGAATCAAATTACATATTTTGACATATAAAGTTATAAATGGCATTTCAAACCAATATTTACAATAAATGAGTCTACAAATCATCCAAGCATGATGTGAATCCCGAATCTTGATCCCGGTACCTGTAAAATGTCCCCACTACATGGGTGAGTAACATAAAGCTACTCGTAAGAGATGAGCATGCATCGGCCTAGCGTTTTACAATTATATCACCTTAAGGTGAAACATGTCAAAGGGGCTCATGCCACCTAACGTTTATGTCAAGTGAGACTCAGGGATCATCCTAAGCTACTCATGCAATTTAAAGTGAACAACGACATACAAGTATACATGCTCAAGTATACTAAACAATGTTAAACATGTTATACAACATACAAACATACATTTCCAAGTATACTAAACCACATTAAGACAAGTCATGCAATGTCTAAGCATATTTACACAAGTATGCATTTTATATGAAAATCTCGTAAATCAAGTATACCGACACAAGTATACTAAGCTAAGAGAGATACGCTTAAAACAAGTATACACGGCACAAGCATACTAAATGAAATCTAAACTCACAGAGCAAGCATACAAGTTCAAGTACACTATATGAGATCTAAATGCACAAAACAAGTATACAGTTTCAAGTATACTAAGTAAGATTCAAATATCCAAAGCAAGCATTAATTCTCAAGTTACAAGTAATCCATAATTAACAACTTGAAATTGAATGCGAAATCAAAGTAGAAAGACTAGGACATGTGATCACTAGACCAAGCAAGTGTTTCCGGGTAATTACAACCCACAAGGCACTACCTAGTGCGCACATGCATAAATTATTCCGGGCAATTACGACCCACAAGGTACTACCTAGTGCGTACTTATGACTTAGAAGACTCTTATCTCCGTATTAGAGCCAAACCCTAGCCATCACATGAAATATGTCCTTACAAGCTTTCCAAAATCAATAAGTCCAAAACTAATACAAAAATCAATAAGTTAGACCAAACTTATACCAAATCCACTAATGCATAAAACCATCTTTCATGCACAAATAAGGTTGAATTCACATAAATCATGTCCTATAATTCAAGTCTAGATAACATATGACATGTCAAGCATCCAATATGCAATTTATATACCAAAACAAGAATATTTTACAATAATTAAACCACATTACCACACTAAACCACAAGTACTAAATAAGTCCCAATTTAGTAACTAGTTTCCAAGGTAAACAATTGTAATATTCTAACAAACTATACACCTACACAAGATATATCTAAACAAGTTATGCAAGTCAATGATATTCTATATCATGCTAAGTCCAATTACCATTTCAAGATGTCTCAAGTACTAATTCTACATCAAATTAGTAACATGCTCACAAGGTGATTAAACAGACCACATTTTAAGGGATTATCAACCTGTTGCCTCTAATATCAATTTAAGTAACCAACACACTTAAAATAAAATTAATTAAGCTCATTAATTAATTTTTCTCTAGATTTTCAAACATATCTAAATGTCCTCAATTTAATATATGTTAAAGAATTCACCAAGGCCTACTTTAATATCACATTACAAGTTGATTCCATACTTGATACAACTATATAAATTAAACATTCACAAAAGATAAATATTAAATAAAATTTGCAATTCTTATTCAAATATCCCCAATTTAATATATATCAACCACCATACCAAGGCCTAAATTTCTAGCATGCCACAATTTAATTCTAAGTTGCCTAGCATCATGAGAATTAAATCTTAAACAAAGAAAATAATTAAATTAAATTCTAAAAACTTAAACAAGGCATGCTCACAAGTTGCATATGCTTATAAAACAATTAATACAACAATAATATAAACCTAAGATACCCCCTACCTCAATTTGAGATGAAAATCTCAAAAGCCATCAAAACGAAACGGCTTCGAATCCGACAATACTTCGGGGTTTCGTCGGGGACAACGCCATAAATGATAAACTCCAAAGAGGAACCATGAAAATCACAACTTGACTTCAAAACCAAACTCAAAATTTGGCCAGAAATGGGTTCTAATAAGGGTGAAAGAAGCACGTAGTCAACACGAATACAAAACGCAAAGGCCCTACTATGTTCTGACAAAGAAATGAAGTTCAAATGAGGAGAGAGAAGGTGTCAGCCTCCCTTGGGCTGCCATGGAAGCTTCAAGTCGTGTAAGAGAGTGGGGAAGATGAAAAAATAAAATATCTCATCCCCCTTTTATAGAAATCTCAAAAAGTGCCCCGAACGGGCCCCGCCGGGTCCGGAAAAGTGAAATTTGAGCAGATGTGCTCAAATGATGAAACTCTGTGAACAAAAAAGATTCAAAATGAGAAAATAAGAATAACGGAAGAAGCGGTGTCAAAAACCGAGTCCCGAACAGAAAGTTATGCCTTAAATAGTTTGGCGCAAATCGGGGCCAGAAACTCTGAAACTGGAAAACATCGACCAGAAAGGACTTCTAAGAGTGTATGACTCGATGAAAAGTGAAAATGAATCCTGTACGAGGATCCAGGCTCAAAATAAGATAATTTGTAATAACTTTCATCACAATGGCCCCCATAAAAAAGGTTAACTGCAAAACTGCCCCAGAATGAAAATATCTTCCAAAAGATATTTTCTTAGATACTCCTGAAATAAAATATCTTCAAAATATACTTACGAAAAACACCCCAAGAAAAGAAATTAATTTCAAAGAATTATGCATCCATGCCCCTATGAACACCCGGAGCAACCAGAGTACTTTCCTACAAAAGTAAAGATACGTATTTCGTGAAAACCACTCACGATAAAGATACGTAAAGTCAAAAACCAACTCCGAGCACAAGAAGTGAGGTTTTGCCAACAAAGTGACAAACGGGGAAAAGACGAAATAGGGAAAAGGACGAAATAGGAATAAGGACAAAAAAGTGAATAGTGTCAAAAAACGAAAATTGTGGAAATGACTCGATCCTCAAAGGAAATTGTCAATCCACGGAAAAGAGTCTCAGAAACCATTTCCGAGCACTCAAGACGACACTAAGTGACGAAAAACCATCCACAAAAAAGAAAAGACAACGGAAAAAAATTTATCCGCAAAATTTGACGAAAAAGGAAAAGGAAGAAAATGACTGGGTCATTACATTTACAGTGAGTTTTTTTTTCATTTTCTCTTGTGCTGTTGGGTAGAAAATTTGATTTTGGGAGGGGTTTCTTTTCCGTATTTTTCCAGAAAAATTCGTTTGATAGCCCATTTCTGCTCTCAGATTAGGACAGTTACTGTAACAACTTTTGCCCTCTTGTCCAGTTCTGATCTAGGGGCATTTTGGAAATTTTTAAATATGTTTTTTTCGTTTCTTTCTTGCAGTCAGGTAGAAAACTCGATTTTAAGGGGGGTTTCTTCTTCGTGTTTTTTCTAGAACATGTCATCTCGGACCCGAAAACCCCGCGTCAAATCTGATTTCCTGTGCGCATCTACACTATTTGAAAAAGTCTGTTGTAAGAACATTTTGGGGATTTCATGTCAAAAATTAAAAAAAAAAAAAATTCAACATGGTTAGCTTGGAAAAATTATTTTGAGGGGGTTTTCTTCTTCATGTTTTTCCAGAAAACGTCGTTTAGTGTCTCAAAACGGCACACGAATTTCAACATTTTACCCAGGTTACTATTCACGGCCCTGCGATGTCAAAACTTTGTTTTGACTAGTGTCTTCCATCCGGACTCCGAATCAAGTGATTCTTGAGTCTAACTTGATTAATTTTTTGCTGTCTTCCCAGTGGTGTACTCGATAGCACCTGATTTTATATTTTTTAGAAATGACCATTTTGCCCTTGGGGCTATTTTTGTCCGATTTTTTGTAATTCGCTTTCGCTACTTTCTTTTGAGTTCCGTGACTTTACGGGAAGTCATGGATGTGTCTCGGGAATAATATACATTCTAGGGACGTCATTTCCATGTAAAATGACTATTTTGCCCTTAGGGGCTTATTTGTCATATTTTCGATCTTTTACTTCCGCTTCAGTTCTCATTGAATTTCACGACCTCATGGAAGGTCATCAAAGTGTATTAGAGGTGTGTTGTGTCTTGGGAGACCGTTGTCTTGTTTCTTGCTTTCGCATTCTGGATTCGTTATCAGATCTACGTTCGGTTCATCACAGGACGCTTTGGCCTAAAAATCAGGGCCGTCACAATTTTCTATTCATGTTATTGCACCATAACAAATCAAATCCTCTTCTTTCTTAATTAAAATAGTAATTAATTGAAGACTTGATTAAGAACCGCAACCTTAGCTAGACACCCCCACAGTTTTAAAGCCCTACCTTTGTTTCGTGCTATGACTGGACCTATGGCGTTTTGCAGGCGAGCTTTCTGGGGCTCTAGTATTTCGGGACATTGTAAGGACCCCTTGTGTTAGATAAACCAGCACAATCTTTGAGATTCGAGATTCTCAATATAGTCCTATCTTACAATGATTCGTTCTATTGCGAGTGGTGTTTATTATTGATAAAATAAAAACGCACATCTGTCGTTACTGGCCGTTTTTGGATGTGGGCATTCATGCCCCATTATTTTGCAGCATCCTCTTTTATTGTGGGCATTATGGAAACACGAATGTGCCGATCTTGGGCCATTCCTGGTCCGCTTATGTGGAGTGGACCTTCTTTGTTAGGCCTGTGGTTTCAGCTAAACTTTAAATCTATTTTGATAAAAGGTGGGCTTTTACACTTATTGACACGTGGTGTATTCTGATTGGTGGGGAAAATTTCATCCACACACACATAACATATGCATGTCTAAATCTTCACAATTTGCAACACAATTAGGAGCCCTAGCGGCACACCTCATGACACTCTCGACAGCAACGATCTTCGACAACTCTCCCTTCCCCTGTCTCTCTTTTTATAAATCTTCTGATAGGCATTCAATATCTTTCGCCTCTCTTCTAACATGGTGAAGAGAGGATGCATCGTATAAACGAACGAGCTGGACTACTTGTCAAACAACATCTTCGGACAAAGTTAAGCTCGGGTCAACACGAGCCGAGCTTGAACACAACTAAAGAGGTGCAGGAGCCGAGCCCGAGCACTCCAAATTATTCCTATGATCTTAGGAGTATTTGTAACTTAGGTTTGGGTTGGCCTAGATAAGTGCAACTGCAACATTACCTGACCCGTGTATGTTGGGTCATCGTCAATCTTGCTTTGGCTAAAAAAAACCTGCCGCTTAAGCAGAATTTCTATGGTACTTCTGCTTTTTCTAACTTATATAAAGTTGTCTGTGTGTATATTTATATATTTGTGGCTAGCCATGGACCATAGGAAGGGGGTACTCATCTTAATGACTCAAGTAGACAATGATTCTCTGAATCAATTGCTTGACCTTAGTCCGCCGGACGTGTGACTTCATCTTGCAAGTCCACCAAGGCTTTCTCTATCCTTTTCTGTGGAACTCCCGGTTGTTGGACCATATTTGCTTTTATTCTGTAAACGGAATTCTCACTTCAATTAGGGTTTGGAAGGAGTGAGGAAATTACATAACTGCAAGGTAAGCATTTTTTTTTTTCTCCAATTACATTTAGGTTCTCTTATTTTGCTCACAAAATCCCAGAGACTATGACTTAGTTTGGGTGTCATATTGTGAACAAATATCTTCAATATCTGTTACAGCCAAGTTAGCCAACTTTTATGCACTGTAAAATTTCAATTTTTAATATACTCTAAATTTGTGCGTGTGTGGGTGGGGGAAAAGGAAGAGTTGAGTGTGTTTTGATGGAGTGAAGAGTAAGTGTGGATATGGTGTGTGATTGAGTGGATATAACTATGGTTGCACATATAAATATATATTTATATATACATCTATTTATGTAATTAGTAATCCATCAAGTGTGGAAGCAGATGGTTTAACTTCTGATGTGGGCTTATTTTTTGGGTAAGTGAAGTGGGTTTTTAAGATTGGGATGAACAGAGTGTGTTGAAAGTGGGGATGAGAAAGTGATGATTAAAATAGCAGCTGAATTGCTGCCATGGCTGAATGCTACCTAGGGTTTACCCATATATGAACTGATGAGAGATGAAGTGAAAGGGAGAGAGAACGAGTGTTTGCTGGTGCAAATGGGGTCATTTAGGGCAAGCTAAAACAATGCCATTTTTGTTTGTCCTTTTTTCTCTTTCCATAAATTTTATGTTGTGCATCTGAAGATATTCCCATTTAGTTGAAAAGCAATATAGAATTCAAATTGTCTAAAATCAATTTCAAAACTTATTGTTTTAGTTGATGTTCTAGGTCACCTACACAACTTATTTCAAAAATATCTGAATGTTTACTGCCTTGATTATATATAATTGCATTGTGCATTGATTATGTTTATAGTCCTTGTTTCTGTTCTGTTAGTGTAAGAGATGGATGGAGTCATTCTAGGTATGCCAGGGCCATGGGCTGATGATAATTGTGAAGTGTCTGATCATTATACAACAAAAATTGGTGGACTTCCTGTAAGTAACTGAGTTGGTCAGATTGTATATAGTCGTGTTTTCAGAATATGTTTAGTATCTGAACTACAACCCCTCCTTGGCAGGACTGGCCTAGTCCAGCTATTGACATAAGACATGATCTACTTGAGTGCAGTCAATGTGGAAGCAATTTATGCCTCATTGCACAGGTTATATGTCTTAAAACCATATTATTATAGTTGTTGAAGATCTATCAATTTAAATGAGAGATCTTAAACTTTTCCTTTTCCCCGTTCTTTCTTTTTCAAGGTTTATGCTCCAATATTAAGTAAAACTGTGAAGATTGAAGAGCGTTTAATCTATGTTTTTGGTTGTGTGATGCTAAAATGTGGGAGCACCCCCGTAAGGTCTTCTTCGATTTCTCTATCATCTTTTATTATGGAATGAAAAGAGTTATATCAGTCAGTAAGTGTTACAATTATACTGATTTCGTCTGCGATTTTTCTGTTGACATATTCAGTTGGCGAGCTCTTCGCATTCATAAATCTCTGAGTGGTGAGGAATCAAACACATCCTGTAACGAAATGGTCCCTTTGAGTGCAACCTCTCTTTCAGTTTTAAACACCAATTGGCAGGAGGATTTGTGGACATTCGACTCTAGAGAAGAAGATGATGATGAGAAAAGTGATGACATAGATCTAGAGGAGTTGGGCAGGGCTCTTTCTGAAGCTGGGAACTTGGCTTCTCATTCTAAGAAACAAAGTAGTAGTCATCATCCTGAGGCTGTTGTGAAACCCTCACCCATAAGCCAAACGGCAAGAGTGGTTGATAACAACACACCAGGTATATTTCGTGCTTTTAAGGAAGAGACCACTCAACATAATGTTGCTCATGTAGTGTGCTGCCTAGTTTTTAAAATTGTCTTCCTCATATTTGATAATTTGTCGGTGCTTTATTTATTTCACACATATATAGTTGAGGGTGGACATTTCTGACAAATCATTGTATTTTATGCTCTTAATTGAATCTCTTATTCTGGTCTTTGGTCATTTATTAGAAAAGACAATTTAACCATTTCATTTGTTCCCAAAACAAAGTAATATATGAGAACTTGCTCAACATGAAACTGGATTCTAAATGAAGAGATAAAGTGCATAATAAGAGAAAAGTTATTTCTAATTAGTGGGACAGGATAATAGTTCATTACAAAATATTTACATTTCTGAATGTTGGCCTTCTGAAATTGAATCCTACCTTCAACAACATGCTAACTCTGCTTCTGAAGACACCATCAAGTGGAATCATGCATTTATTCCTTCAAAGCAGTCTGGAATGTTTGCAGGGTTCTAGGTGAGACTGTTCCATGGTACAGTCTTGTTTGGAATCACAATAGACCTTGAATTGCTGTCCAAGCAATCCTTATTGTTCACAACTCTTTTCCGTCATATTTTAACCTCAGAAAGAGAGGTTTCATTGGTCCAGCCATCTGTCACAATTGTTTTGAGGATGTGGACTCTCGAGACCACCTGTTTTGGTGTTGCCCTTTTTCTAGACAGGTGCGGATGTGGTTTGCTGATCTATGTCACTGGCATGACTTGCCAGAGCTGTCACATTTCTCTGATGCATTGAACTGGTTCATTGTCACTCATGGTCAATCTTTGAAAAGTAAACTACCAAGGTGCTGGTTTCTTGTGGAATATTTGGCCTGAGAGAAACAGTAGATGCCATGGTGGTGCTGCATTGACTTTATATCAGTTGGCAATGCAGGCATGCTTTGAAGGATTGTCTGCAATGGGCCTGAAAATCTCTGACTTAGGGACACTGTTCTGAGTTTATTTTTCTTTCTGATTCTCATATTTTGCTGCCTTGGTAATTCTTGCTTTGGTAAACACAGTGAATCTTTTCTGTTATTTGCTGTAGTTTGGGGTATGCCCTGAGCTATTTCCTATTTTCATGTTCACATTCAGGGAAAAAAAAATGTATGCCCTCATTAAGGAAAATGTATGGCATAAAAGCTATTATCTTTATTCTTGATTCCAAGGCTTAAATACTGAAAAGACCGTGATTGGGAGTATCTTTTAGTATGATGCATGCATCATGTGAATCTTCCCTTTTAAATGAATTATCTTGAAAATGATTAGTTAACATGCTAAATTACAAAAAATTTGGCTTGTTTTAGTCATTTCAACCTGTCATATTTTTGTAACATGATTTTCTGAATTGTTCTTACTTGGTTCTGATGCTTGTACTGTTGTGCTTATATTTGTTGCTTACAGTGGCACCTTGATTTTGAAATATACCCCCCACCCCACCCAACGACCAAAAATAAAAAAGGGAGGGAATTTTTTTTTCTAAATTACAGATTGGTTTGTTTTAGTCATATAATATTGCATATGTTTGTAACATGATCTTCCGGTTTGTTCTTGATTCTGATATTTATACTTTGTAGTGCTGTGTTTCTGAGAAATGGTTGTTGTGTTGAATATATGTTCATGTATTTGTTTGTTGCAGTGGCATCTTGCTTTTATATATATACTCAGGAAGAGGGATCCTCAAGAGAGGTTAATTCTGTGTGTTCGAGCTACTCCTCACTTTCCATCAAGGAAAACCAAAGTGATCTTGATGATCATGAACAGGGAGAAACATGGGAAGAGGAGGGTTATGAATATGATAGAGCTTTGAATGCTGACAGGATTTACCTCAAGTTCAAGAAGCGAATGGATTTATTCCCAGAGCAATGTTTCAGGTATCAATCGTCTGGAAAACTGGATTCTGTGTTTTGGGAAGTCCATAATATTTGTAGCTCAAATACTTGCTCTTATCTTTGATGCACTGTATACCTTCTGTTCCTCCCAGGTTGTGCTAGGATGCTACCGTTTGTGGATCAATTCCCTAATTCATTCTTCACCTTCTGGGAGATGACAAACGAAAAATAGTTGTACCTATATTAGATGGTCTTTTTCTCTTTTTCTTTTTTTTTTTTTTTTCTTTTTTTTTTTTTATTCCCTTAAGTAAACTCCCAATCCCCATTGAACCAAAGAACCACTATATAGAACTAAGGACAAAAAAAAAAAAAAAAAAAGGATTTGAAAAAGCCCATTTCCAATACACAAGTACAAAAAACATCAAAAGCACAACAATTAAACAAGCAAAACTACTAACCCAATTGTAAGTCCCTATCCATCTCAACCAACTTTTCCTCCCTAATTTCAGCAATCTAGAAGTAGCTCTGTTATGCCACACCACCCACCAAACTGAATTCCCATGGATACACTCATTCAGCCTATTATCCACCTTAGCCACCAAATGTAACATTGAATCTGCGTAAACCAGCACCAAGAATCAGCACTGATACCTTCAGCAAAACCAATTCAATCCTCATTCCTCACAAATTGACATTTCTTCATTCCATTGGTACCTCGTAATGAACAGCATTCAGAGAACAAAAACCATTCAACTGAATGCCTTAAATATCCAGGAGTTAATAAATTCTAATATGGCAGTCTGTGGAGCTGAAGGAGCTGAACCCTTGATGCAAATTTAGGTTCCTGATTTTCCAGAGTCCATAAAATAGTTTTGGACAGGTTTCTGCAAATTTATCCCTCTTAGATTCCTGATTGAATTGCTTAATAAACCAATCCACCAATTGGTCAATGTATCAACTTGATTCCAATTCCAGCTAAACACTTCAAAAACCCAAGCCCATAACCTCTCTCTGGGCATATATACAACTGAAAAATAGACGATCTATTGTATTATGCCATATTGGAGCCAAACAAATACCTCTTTTTTGAAGATTGGAGATGGAATCCTGTTTAATAAGATCAGACACGAAGTTGTATTAGTTGAAGGTCTTCCTTTATTCCAACAGAGTTAAACCATGGTTTCTTATCATGCACTTGTATGCTAATTTTCCAAACTGATTTGAAATTGAAATTTCCATGTTTCCACTGGATTTGATCATCCCCAGTGTATAAAGGAGTTTTACTGATCAAAGGCCAGACTGCTTCAATTTTGGGATCCATATATCTTGTTTTGCACCACACCCCATTCTTAATGTCCTTGTCAATCTTGAAAAACTTAACCTATGAAATTAGAGTATGAAGAAGGGGAAAAATAAGAAGCACCAACCTGCTATAGATACAGGATTATTCAATTACATAGTTTGCGCTCCTCCTAGACTATGGCGCTTTCAAGAGACCTTTCAAGCTTTTTCCTAAGATAACTTTCATAGACCAAGATACCTGTCAGTTTTACAAACTTGTGCTTTGTCACTAAATATCATGCAGAGGCAGAGTTGATAGGGTCAGCAGAGGTTATGTTTTTCAACTTCAATTTTTTGGTGCATTCCAATGTGGCAGCTGAGAGAACACATCAATAGATAGAGGTGCAAGATTTAGGTGGTTGTTCGCGCACAAATTTGCTAAGATGTTATTTTACATCATCCAGATCCTATTTGATTATATTGTCATGTGGCCAAAATTGACTGGTAATTGTTAAAATTAATAAAAAAATTAAAGCTGTTCCCTGTTTAAGGTATCCATTTTTTTACCACCATTTTTAAATTGGTGACACATGGATCAGTGTTCCTTTCACTCTTTCAGTAGCTAAAGTTCCCTTTGATTGATAATCTTTTTATTATTTTGTTTGTCGGTAATTCATCAATTTTCCATGACTGCTTATGTTTCTGCTTAACTCCACCTGTATCATCTTTACACAGCCGATCCCAAGCCTGGATAAATGAGGGATGGGTTAGGTAGCCTGATAGCTAGCATAAAACTTTTGTCATGACCAACATGAACACGAATCCTATGAACGACCTGTGGTTTGACTGAGTTCATGGCCTTGGAGCAGAATGGAAAAATAGGATTCATGTAGCCAAACCCAATTAGTTGGGAAAAGTGCAATGTGTTTTTGTGATGTTCTGACACATTCTCTCTCTTTTTTTGTTTGCTCTTTGACCATATCTTTTGTCCTTACTGACAATATTCATGTACTTATGCTTCAGATACTCATATGGTGGAAAACCACTTATGGCTACAGCAGAGTCAATAGATCCTGGGACATGCAGACTTTGTGGCTCGTCAAGGCACTTTGAAATGCAGCTGATGCCCCCATTATTGTATTTTCTTCAGGAAGCGGCGAATGATTCTTGGAAACAGACGCTGGAAAACTGGAACTGGATGACTCTGATTGTATATACTTGTTCTAAGGTGAGGTTTAAAATGCATAAAAAAAATATTCAGAAAACAAAGAGTATACTTGTTATCATCTCCCACCAATGTTCTAAGCATCGAATCTCTTTCCCCAAAATGGACCTTATTGAGTATTTGAACTGCCTAATTCTAGATTTTGACTAGATTGTGAGCTCAGTTTCAATTCGAGTTGAATTTGTTTGAATACTTTGTATGGTTCGTTCATATTAAAACGTCTCTTTATTATATCTTGTACGCGGAGGAAAAATGAAAAGAAAAAAAAGGGTCGAGAAAGGATGAAAGAGGAAAAGATGCCAAGGGATTTTCCTCTATTTGGCTAATTTTCTCCTTGCACAATGATAATATTCTAGTTCTTAATACTTATGACTTGAAAAGGAAACATTTCCTCCTTCCTCTTTCTTCATGTTTACTGGTAGTTTTGGGTCCCTGATTTGTGTACATCTGTTTTCTAATTTTATTTTATTTTTTTCCTGCTGTTATAAGTGATATAATTTCGCGTTTCATGTTATTTTTCAGAGTTGTTCTCAGTCATCCATTCAGGAAAACCCCAACAGTGGCAGATGGGTTGTAGCAGAGGAGGCTGTTATGGTACAATATGAGTAACTGTTATATGGGCAGCTGGGCTTGGTTTTTTTTTTTTTTCCTTCTGGTCCAAATGCTTATGATTGGGAAGAAAGAAAGAGAATTGTGTTTGTGCAAGTGAGTAATATTTGTTAACCTTATTAAGGAGTATTTAGCTTGCCTACAGCTATAGCACTTTTGTAAGGAAAAAAAGAAAAAAATCTCAGATTAATTTGTCAGAGTACTAATTTTTTTTATTCATAAAAAGTTTGGTCAGTGGACTCTTACTTATTTGACAAGCCTCTCAGTTTATTGTCCAACTTTGAAGATGAATCCTGGAGAATTTTTGTGGGTTTTCTGACTTAGAAAATATAGCACTCTCTTTCTAGTACTTCATGTTATTTGCTTTTGAAAATGTGAAGTTGTAAAGAATCAATAGACAGCTATCTAGCTCAGGTGGCGTCAGCTTCTTCTCTTAGAAGGAAGGTGTTAGGGCTATGTTTCATGGACTCGTCGTGTTGGGGATGGACTCGTCGTGTTGGGAAAACGGAAGTTTTTAAAACTTTATGAGGGTTTTTTAAACAAAGATCTTGATTTATATGTAGAGACAAATTTTATGCATGATAATACATTCAATTAGAAATGGAAAATTTACATCAAGGTTTGAGTAAACATTAGATTTCTCATTTAAAGCGAATGTTTTCACTTATTGTAGATTCCTTTGCAAGATACCTTCTCATTGGATCTCCATCTTCTTGGTAATGGTCTTGCCTTTAAAAATCACTCATAAGCCTCCATGAATGACATTGGAAAATTAGGCTTGTGGGAGCCTCTATTAATCTAGAGAGAAAAAATATTTTTTTGTCCTATAAAAATCCCTCATAAAATATAAATGGACCCATGTATATATAGGCAAAATAAAGATAAAGTAAGTAAACAATAAATCATTTTTAATCTCTAATTCACATATCTCAAATCTAATAGGATTCTAATATCAAGTTAGGTTATGAATGAGAATTCTTTGGGCTTATTATTTTATTGGTTACAATGAATTAATAATTGGTCCGGTCCATGGATCTAATTAAATTAATCCATTAATTAATTTTTACTCTACTAAAAGAAATTAATTGAACTCCAATTAAATAATAAATAACCTCTAAGTCAATGTTACACTTTTACCGCTCCATGCATAATTAGTTATCGGATAAATAAAGCCATTAATCCGACTATTTAATTAATATATTTATTTTGGTACTTTTGATTATTTCCGGCTTGATCACAATAAAATATTTGTTTGACAAAAATAATAATTTACTAAATAAATATATAAAAAACATTTTGTCTAAAACATACGAAGGCCTTTGAATTTAATTTATAATGAACCATAATCAATACAAAATAAATACAAGTAGCACTGATGCAAATATTGAGAATATAACTCTCTAACTATTAATTACATAACTACCCAAAGTATCGATCTATGGATCCCAAAGTATCCGCCGAACAAATCAAAGTAATTACTAATTAATAAAAGAGTCTATACTTCTCTTATGCTTAAAAGTCAAATGCCATGACAGTGATAGGGAGTAATTGCATACGACGGCTCTCGTAATTGCATCTCAAATTAACGCGGATCCAGTTCAAGTCTTAATTAATAATGAGTCCATCCATAATTACCGACTATGAACAATTTATAATTACTATTTATATTTATGCATTTATTGCCATCACACACACACACATATATATATAAATATATCTTATAATTAAGTGGACACTATCAATTCCATAATGAATAATTCACCAATTACATAAATCATAAATATTTTAGATATGTTAGGACCATATGTCACTATAATCCAAATATGAATTTGTTATGTCAGGGCATATAAATCCCAACACCTAGGACATACAATATTTGAACACGAGGACAAATATGTGTTTGACATTTTTAGTTGGTCACTCACGACCAAAAAAAAAAAAAAAAAAGTATATATAAATAATATATTTAATAATTTTATTTTATTACATTATTTCTTCAAAACATATATTTTATACTAAATATTAAAAAAAATATATATAGAAAATTTCAACCGTGTCTGTCCTGTAAGTGTATGTGCGACTGTGCCTTGTAACATTAGAAAATTTTATCAACCCATAAGCTATACTTACTTTTGGCATCCAGAGGCAACCCAAATGACCCTTGTGGATTACTATAGGAGCAGGGCGGAGCCAGGATTGCAAAGTAGGGAAGGCTAAAAATAATTAAACTCATGATTGCTTAGTGTGTCATCTATGGTTCGTGGGTTTGCTCCTATTTAAGACTTGACCTTTGTAAATTTTATAATTCTTTTTATTTATAGAAATACTATGAATTGAGCTGGGCTGATAGGAAGAGAAAAAGTAGTACATGGGTTTATAGATACAATAGTACTAAATTTTTTTTTTTTCAATTGGACCTGGGTTATAGCCCAGGTTAGCCCATTACTAATTCCTCCCTTGTGTAGGAGGGACTCACGACTCATGAGTTTTTGAATAGGCTCCATAGTTTTTTTTGAAAGATTAATAGTAAAAACTTTCCACACCTAACCCTATCCAATTTTGTTTTACAATTTGAAGTTATTTTAGTAAAAAATCAATTATTACCATACTATGTTTGGAGCACCGGCAACATCTTTATAAGTTGAGATTAATAAACCTTACTTACTTTAAGTAGTGTAATTTATAATCTACCTACATTAGTCTACTTTTAAGAACATGTCTAACTCTTATTTAACTTTTCTCTTTTTTTGAACTACAAAGCCAGTAAATGTTACAAAAAAAACACCACCACCACAACAACAACAGTGTGTTTTAATGCGCCAACAATATCCATTTATTGGTTTGCCAAATGAAACAAGAAATATTTACTTTATAATTAAACTTCAGTTTATTTCAAACATAAATAGAGTTACATTTCAAGTGAGTTCGGCTGTATAGAATTAAAATCTTTAAAATAAATTTGAAATTGGTAAAATTTGAAAAAAATTTGAGTAAATTTTCTTAATTATTTTTTCCAAATTTCACAAATTCAAATTACAAAACTCCAACCGAATACACCTTCAAATCCAATTCAATTCAATTCCTTTTATTATTCCAAATCCAAATAAGAATTTGGTTCGAAACAAACTTCGTTTGGTTAAGCCACCCACAGTTTTTCTTTTTCATTTATTATTATTGTTATTATTATTCTAAAATTTGAGCCAACTGTCTCTCACCCGTGTTTGAAATGTTCAAACGTGGGGTATGCCCACAATGTGATATACCATCACCACGTTTCACCTAAATAATAGATCTTGTTCAAACTTCAAACCACCTCAACAACAATACAAATGATTTCGAACCCTAAATCCACTTTTATCATCCACCAGATTTAAAAGGCATGGACAAATTTAAAGGAATCACCACATTGTTCCTTTTCTGGTTCATTATAATCTCCCATGGAATCACCTCAACTGTTGCAGATGCAGCAGCACAAAACAAGGATGAGAAGCCGCCATCTGCTTCAGAGATGATTAGAGAGATGTACTCTCTCATAACAAAATCCTCCATAACTTATTGGGACAGACTCAAATCCCTGATCAATCAAGCTCAAACACAACTCTTCCCTCCAAATTTAGAGTGAGATTCATGATGATCTATGAACACCCTTTTGTTTCTCACTTTCCCAGTAGATTTTTTATCTGACTGTTGCCTGTTTGTTGGTGTTTTCGAATACGAACTTAGTTTTCGGGGCAGAGATGGCACCGGAGGAAGGGTGAAAGACGCGGCAGAGAAGAGTTTAAAGACGAGCAAAGTGACGGTGGAAGAATCTGCCAACTCGGCCGGGAAGGCGGTGGGAGAGGCCGTGCACAAGACAGCAGAGAAGGTAAAGGAGAGCATGGCTGATACAGATGGTTCTCATGCAGAGCTGTGAACAAAGTTAATGGTCTGATGTAATGTGTGTAGTTTCAGGCAGTTTTGGATTGTAAAACTGTAATAATATGTACTTGTTTTTCTTTAATGGAGCCTCATGAACATGTATAATCAATAATGCTAAATGATTTACCAAAAACAAATCTGCAACTATAACAATTATAGCCTTGGGATGCAGTCCACTTGATTTAATGGATGGGAACACACACAAACACACACAGATGCAACATATGCAAACAATAGATACAGATGCAAATTTAAAGAACCTATAGTGGTCAAGTAAAAAAAAAAAATGGATGAAGGGCCTAAGCACATTAGCACAAATCAAGATACGAGTGGAAGGAATAGAAAACAATAGGTTAGCCAAGAAAGAAGCAGCATTGCAATAGGGTAAATCATATATGTCCATCACTGAATGAAAATCAGAAATACTATTGGTAGCCAACACCTACCATGCCAGCTAAATTCTCTTACAAAGAGACTACAATTCAAAATGGGAGGACCATCACGACAGCATGATACAAAATCATAATCGCGATTGGCCAGAAGTAAAGAAAGCGCTAAGAAGAACGAGAAGTAGAGTGTTTAAGGCATTCACTCTGACATCTCCGAAGACAGACGTCGTTCCAGTTGGGTACCTGATGCTGGTTAACACAGACCGTGCGTGCACAGGCGTCGGAGCAAGCATCAAGCTCAGATACACCACAAACAGTAACACAAGTATCGGGGATCAGGTCCTTGGAGAATGCTCCTACCCTCTTCAGCATTCTCTTAGAGGTACAGACCCTCTCGCAAACAAATATATCATCAGATGTCTTCTCTCTTCCCCTGGCACTCTTGATTCTCTGCTCTTCAGCACGTCGTCTCTTAATTTTAAAAGCTTGCCCTGCAACAACAGCAGGAATGGCAGCACCCAAAAGTGACCACCATACTTCAACCATCACTAGTACAATGATGAAGCTCCTTCTCTCCCTCTTCTACTTTGGCATTCTCTTATCTAAAATGAAGAGGGAAAAAAAAAATGACACTATGTTAGGATGAACAATTTTTAAAATGCATGATATATCGGAAATAAAGGGATAAATCCACACAATCTAAAATTCCCGAATTTGAGATCTCTGTTGTTCGAAACAGATTGTCTATGGGATCCATATTTTACTTTTATCGCCTATGCTCAATAAAACTAGAACAAAATGATACATTGAGAACTATCTGTCAAGTATTCAGTAAAAATAATAATGATGATAATATATAATTAAACTACCAATTCTTTTACTTAGATATTAAAATAAAGCTGCTTTGAGGAAAACTTGTCCTTGTATTTAATTAAGGTCATAAAATCAAGGGTTAATTTCACTGACATCCCCTCAGGTTTGACCTAATATATCTTCAAACATCTTTTGAAAATAACTATCACTTACATTACAAACTTTTGCTCCGTTTTTCACTCACACCCCAATCGTTACTTGCACAGTTATGACACAATGTAAAATGACTTAAATACCCTTTTACTTTGTCAAAACAACTCTTTAGTCTAAAGAATCAGATAAAAAGACTAAAACATCCATAAAACTATATATACATACATATATATACATACCCATTTTGTTTGAACATATGTATATATATATATAGATAGCCATTTTGTTTGAACCCATAATAGGTTTATACTATATATATACACACATATACACATATACATAATTAGTTTTAGATATGGACATACACATAACTAATTTTAGAATACCTATTTATTTTTTAATAATGGGTTCATACTATATACAGTCACACACTCACATAATTAGTTTCCTATTCTAATTTGGATTTACCCATGTATATATTAATTTGGAACTCTTATTAAACTTGTTTTAATTCTAAGCCCATCTGTAATCTATTTTTAATTGTATTAAATTGAATTTGTGTTTAATTATTTTTAACTATTATTATAACACCCCAAATCAAATTACACCAAAACGGACAATATATATGTCATACAGTTAGCTCTATATATATATATATATTGATTATATATAATTAGTTGTTGTGGATCAAGAGGAAGAGGAGGAGGAAGAGGAGCAAGAAGAGGAGATTGAGCTGCCACTGAGTTAGGTAACTCGTCCTACCCCAATATGTGAAGCCCAGATGGAGCTAATATGCTGCCGTATGAAGCGGCGCCCAGAAACCCAGGTCCGAGGTACAGGGGTGCCTGAAGAACCACGCCGTCGGACTTGGCGGCCACGCTGTGTACGACTGCGGAGAGTTCATGCCGGCTGGCCCGGAAGGCACCCTTAACGTGTTGAAATGCGCCGCTTGCAATGTCAAAGCTCCACCCAACGCCGTGGATGGTGATGGTTGGTGGTCCGCTTCCTCCACTTTAGAGCTCCACCAAATTCCAAATTTTCAAGCCCATCAAAGGCGTCAAGACCTCGGACATCGCCGTTGACCCCACCGGCAATATCTGGTTCAGCGTCTTCCCTCCCACCAAACCACCGCCGTCCACGGAACCATGAATATCCACCACCACCCATCACCGCCATTTTTAGTTCGGCAAAAAAGATCAATGCTGCAATGTCCAGCCCTTCGCCGTCATCGCACAGAGATGGATATATACCTGCGATTTTAATATATATATACATATATCTAAAGGTATAATGGTTGTAACCTGATATTTTGGAATAAATAGGATTAAAAAATAAGGGGTAAATAGTCTTTTTCTATATTTTTAGCGAAAAAATAAAAATGGACCCAAGTGAGTGATTTTCAAAAGATGTATTAAGAGTGATACTTGGCCAAACCTGAGGGGGTGTTAGTGAAATTAACCCTAAAATCAATTCTTGAAATTATCAGCAAAGGTAGAATCAGTATGACTTTTATCCAAATAAACAACTATAAAACTTAAAATTCTCAAATTGCTTCTTGGCTTTAAATCCCTATGCAAATCTCACACCCAAACAGAACCTGTTGGGGAGCCTATTAATCTAAGAAAATTCAAGAATTTCATTCAGCACAAGTATCAAAAGTCAAGAAGCATTCCAAGACATCTCTTACAAGGATATAAAAAGGGGGGAAAAAAGGGAATCGAAAAAACATAATATTTCCGACAGAAAAAGTTCCACCATTGTATAGCAGACTCAAGTTTCAGAATCAAGAAAGAAGTACATCCATGCATTTAAATGACACTGCATATCATTGTGATTGTGACTTCTCTAAGTTATATCGTTTGCATACTTTGAAAATGAATAAGACCTATATCTCCAGCCCATTTCAGATGAAGTGTCATTCTTAAAGGGGAATCGGAAAAGCATACTATTTCCGACCGCAAAAATTCCACCATATAGCATACTCAAGGTTCAGACTCAGGAAAGAAGTGCATCTATGCAATTAAATGACACTGCATATCATCGTGATAGTGACTTCTCTAAGCTATATCGTTTACATACTTTGAAAACGAATAAGGCCTATATCTCCACCCTATTTCAGACGAACTGTCATTCTTAAAGGGGAATTGGAAAAGCATACTATTTCCGACAGCAAAAATTCCACCATTGTATAGCAGACTCAAGGTTTAGAATCAGGAAAGAACTACATCTATGCAATTAAATGACACTGCATATCATTGTGATTGCAACTTCTCTAAGCTATATTGTTTGCATACTTTGAAAATGAATAAGACCTATATCTCCAGCCTACTTCAGATGAAGTGTCATTCTTAAAGGGGAATCGGAAAAGCATACTAGACAGCAAAAGTTCAACCATTGTATATCATACTCAAGGTTCGGAATCAGGAAAGAAGTACATCTATGCAATTAAATGACACTGCATATCATTGAGATTGCGACTTTTCTAAGCAATGCCGTTTGCATACTTTGAAAATGAATATGGCCTATATCTCCAGCCTTCATTCTTAAAGCATAGACTCGAAATGATTTGACAACTCCTAACTACCATACCAAACAACAAAAAGAAAGGAATGCAGGTTGAGTAGAGAACAATTTGCACTTCTTCAAAGTAACAGTAAACTAGTTTTTAGGCAGCTCATGGTATGCAATTCTTTCTTTAAAAACAGCTTAAGAATCCTACAATCCAATAACGCCCATTCTCGTTTACTAAAATCTCATTTCTTCAATGGATTCATTTTCAGTCACCCGAAACAAAACCACTTTCCACTATTTTTTTTTTCTAAGCACACAATAATATTGCCATTTTTGTAAGTGTTCCATAATTTACATTTCCAGCAACAAAACCAAAACTGAAAAATTAAACCGCAATCTTTGTACCGCAAAAAGTTTGAGTAAGAAATTGTTTAATCAATGTCCAAGTCTAGTTTTATTAGTGTCGAAAACTTGCTACTCTATAAAAAGATCAAACACCTCAGAACTTTGGACCCATTACTGCAGATACATAATTTATATGAAAAATCCAATAACACGAAACAATGTCATGGAAATTTAAAATCTACACAGAGAAAATCAACCAGAAAATAGGTTTCATGAATTGTACAAACACATTTAGGTATAAATGAGAAATCCTACCAATAACTGTATGTGTATATTTAAGTTTTGAAAGTACTAATCCAAAATATTGCTACACTTTTGCAAAAAAGACTATACATTGAAATCAACACCAGCAAACCCAATTTAATACTCTGAAAACATTAATATGAAAAATATAATTGGGAGAATCAGTAGCGTCGCAAGAACAAAAATGCCACATATACAAATATATATATATATATAGATAACAATAAAAAAATAAAAAATAAAAAAAACCAAACCCTAGAAGAATTATGTAAAATCTCTTACCTGCAACCAGCCACTCGACTATCCGGTGAGTTGGGTTGAATGAGCGGTAAAATGCAATGGGGTTTAGCGGATCTGAGCCAACATAACTTCGCCGAGGAATGGGTTTAGAGTGCGTTTGGAGCGAGAGCGAGTGAAGAGGAAAGGAAAGGAAAGGAAAAGTAAAGGGGGAAAAAACTTGAAACACATCCTTTGTTTTTTTTTACTTGAATTCTATTTTGGGTAGATTAAAGATGGACACAAGAGTGCACGTAGATTAAAGACGGACACAAGAGTACACGAAAATACTAGCGTATTTAGTAGGTCTAAGTTTAACCGATTTGTATTCCTGATGTGGTGGATAAGAGTAGTGATATTTGACGAAATTCTTATGCCGAATACACTTAATTGATCATTGATATAAAAAATAAAGAATTGAATAGTCTCACTTTTTATATTTGGAATGCATTGACCAATTAAAATCATTCGATTAAGAAATTTTGTCTAACTCAATCTTAAAATTATTATTCAATTGATAAACTCAAATTTGGGTCCTACATCAAACAAATAAGAATCATTAGGTTAGACAAATCAGCCTAATATATAGACCTAAGAATCATTTTCTAAATCGAAATGAAGTCAACCTTTCTTGTAAAATTAAAGAATAGTTTATTATAATTTAGCTTTGATTTAGAGAAAAAGAAAAAAAAAAAAAAAAAAAAAAATACAACTCGTTGGTAAATATATATTTAATTGGTGAAGAATATAATTTATCATACACCACAATGCGCAGAATTGTTGTATACATCTGAAATTTTATTTTTTCATTCAATTCATATATATATATATATATATATATGTATCTCTTATAATAAGAAGGTCCAAAAATTGTACAACTGAAACGATCTACTGTTTATTACTATTTTTCTAATTTGATTCGTTTTAATCGTTTCAACAATTTGATTCAAATATTTCTAGAACCACTGTGACTCTACTAATAAGACTTACAAGTGTTATTTTTAATTTTTTTTTTTTTTTTTTTTTTTTTAAGTTGGAGTGTAATTGTAGAAAAGAGAGTGTAAATATCACCTCCCAATAAATATATATAGACATTTATATGTAATATGGATATAAATATAGGTTAAACTTATTTTATTACTTAAATATTTTTTATTACATTTTTACATTACGTATTCAATTTTTATTTTTATTTTTTATTATCTAACTTCTAATGACTTATGCTAATTACTAAGTATAAGATACATACAGGCATTACTCAGTGCCCAACTCTCCAAATCGGTGTGCCCATGTTTGAGACTCGCTTTCCCCTAGTTTGACAAGATTATTGTATTAATTAATTACTAATATAAAGTCTTTATTAGTAACATATTCAAAAAACGAAAAACAATTTATATTAATAGGCACGCAAGCTTGTTAAGCCTGCCAAGCCGAGATTAAGCCCGACATTTTTTGGTCTAATTTATGGTTAAAAACAAAAAATTTACTCAAGGAATAGAGAAATGCAATGCAAATGCCGTATTGTCCGAGTTGTTAGGTTGCTCCCTGTGTTCAGGAGCGCGTGTTTGAGCCTTGCACCCTCCCTCTCCCTCTATGAGTCCACACCAACCTCTCCGGATTTTTACTCCTCTCTGGATTTTCACTCTCAAAAAAAAAAAAATAAATAATAAATTAAATTTTAATATTTTTTAAAACTTTTTCCTAATGGCTATATTTCTAACAGCTATATTTTTCATCATATATAAAGAACAGTTATTTGCTCATCTGAAAATATCACTACATTCATCTTTCTCTATTGTAGCAAAATATCATTATTCATCTCCTTCGATTTCGAAATTTCAATGGCTTCGTCATCATAAGTTTTTCCTTTGGCAGACTTTAATTCTTTATCTTCCTCGTCTTCTTTGTCATCCTCATCAGAAGATGACTTTATTGCCACGTTGATTCAATAGAATCAAGACGAATTCTATGAGATTATGAATTCAGTCAGGCCAGAGATAGTTAAGTAAGTATTTCAAGTCCGTAATAAGAATCGGTAAATTCATTGTGACTGAGAGGGAAGCCACTATCAGCTCATGAAAGGGTTCTTCGACAAGAAATGCATATATCCATCGGAGTACTTTCACAGATGATTCAGGATGAGATGAGAACTTTTTCTTCATATCATTAATGATGATAAAGCTTATGATGACTACTTTGTCCAAAAAAGGGATGCAACGGGTTGTTTGGGGTTGTCTTTTATACAGAAGATGACAACTTATGTTCATATACTCGCATATGGTTATGCAGCCGGTCATTATGATGAGTATATAAAAAACGGCAAGAACACTTCCATTAAATGCTTGAAGGCATTTTGTAATGCTATTGTTGATGTGTATGGAGAGGAGTACATGCGCTTACCCAACAAAGCTGACATAGCATGACCACTTCAAGAAGGGAAGCAGAGAGGATTCCCGAGTATGTTTAGTTCTATCGACTGTATGCACTAGAAGTGGAAGAATTGCCTAGTGGAGTGGCATGACACGCACAGGAGATACTCTAGTAAGCATACTCTCATATTAAAAGTGGTTGCCTCACAAGATTTGTGGATCTGGCATGCATTCTTTGGAATGCCAGGTTCACACAATGATATAAATGTGTTGGATCATTCCCCAGTATTCAACGGTATCGTTAATGGCGAATTGTCTCTAGTTAATTATGTGGTGAATGGACATCAATATAGAATGGGGTATTACCTGTGTGATGGTATATACCCTAAGTGGGCAACTTTGATGCAGACCATCCCACACCCAACCACTTGAAAAGGAAAATTGTTTACTCAAAGACAAGAGGCATGCATGAAAGATGTGGAACGAGCTTTTGGAGTATTGTAGATCAAGTGGGAAATAACGTAAGGACCAGAGCATTTCTAGGAGAAAGATGACTTGTGCCTCATAATGAAAACGTTCATCATCCTTCACAACATGATCATTGAAAATGAGCTTCACACAAATGTTGGAAGATGGACTCCGCCACCGGAAGAGGCAATGCCGATTCCCACTTTAAGTTAATACCCATCAGTTTTAATGGCACACATCTTCTCTCGTCAACTTCAGATTCGCAATAGAGAGACAAAAACAAGGTTGAGGAATGATTTGATGAATTTTTTTTGGAACCGCCATGGTGATGAAGACCTTTAATTTTTTTTTCTTTCATAATTGGTTGTAAAATTAAAAGAAAATATATATATTTTTTCCTAATTGAAGGATTTTTATAAATATAAGCATTATAGTACATGGAAATAAAGTAAGGGCATACCCTTACATACAAAACAAAGCCTTACCAAGAAGGCGAAATAAGCACTGATCTAAAGAAAGGAAAAATTACAAGACATCTTGAAGTGTTACCCCCATAACATCAAGAACCTCCCAAATCACAGTCTTAACTAACTCCAAAGAAGCTTTACATATATCATTGTGTACTCTCTCATTTCTTTCTCTCCAAATGAAATACATTCCTGCAGTGAAAAGTATCCTCCCAAATTTATTCTTCTTTCCTTGGAATTTTTGTATAAAAGTCGTAGCCAATTCCTGAACATCACCCGCTTTCTGTAAAATTCCAAGTAAAAATATCTGACATAGTGGACCACACAGCCCAAGCATAAGGACAATTACAAAACAAATGATCCAATGTTTCTACATTGCTAAAGCACAAACAGCATCGTGAAACAACAGAGAATCCTTTGTTTTGCAAAAAAGAATGAGTAATGACATCATTTTGCAGCACCAAAACTAAAAAAACCAACCATCTAGGTCTACCTCCATTCCAACACAAATCTGCCCAGTAAACAGGTTGATTAGGACTTCTGCAGGCCTCCCAAGCAGCCTTAAAATTGAAATTAGAAGCCCAATTAAGTTGATCTTCTCCCCCAACAACTCTATAAGTATGGAAAAACTGAATCAAATCTTGGGTAGTATTCATCAGCAACTCATCATCCCACTGACCCTCAATAATGAATCACTCAATGTACAATGCTTATTTCTGCTAAGGGAACTCAACACGCTATGATTAAATAGCTCACTTAAACACTTACCTTCACACCAAGGATCCAAAAATAATTTGATATTCTGACCATTACCAATTTTAAATCTGCAATTCATTTTGATCACATCTCTGACTGCAACGATGCTTTTCCAGATAGATGAATCAGTATCCCTCTGAACAATATTCCAAAAGGAGGATTTTCTGAGATATTTTTTCGTTAACCAGGTCACCCAAATTCTATCTTTTGATAACAAAAAATCCCAAGTGAGACAACACTTAGAAGCCATATCAATATCCACCAATCTTCTCAACCCCAAGCCACCTTCTTCCTTAGGAGTAGTAATCTTATTCCATCTCAGACCATGTAATTTCTTTCTATCTTCTACATGCCCCCAAATATAGTTCCTTATTCTCCTCTCAATCAAGTTAACAACCACAGCAGGTAGAGAATACACAGAAGTCCAATACAGGACCAAAGGAAGAATACAAGCTCTAACTAACTCCACTCTACCAGCCATAGAAACATATAAGCCATTCCATCTAGTTGTGAGAGAAATAAATTTCTCAACCAACTTAATACAATCCCTGCTTCGGAGCATTTTATCAGAAATTGGTAAACCAAGGTAAGTGAAAGGAAGCTTCCCACTCTTACAACCAAGAGCTCTCAAAATAGTAGACCTTCTTCTAACCGAATCAGTAAGAAAAACTTCTGATTTCTCTTTACTCACTTCCAAACTAGAGGTATATTCAAACTGCAATAATGTTTTTTTCAAGGTAAAAACAGTAGCCAAATTAGCTCTCACTATAATAAGCAAATCGTCAGCAAAAAACTAGTGAGTGATAGGAATGCCAGCTTGAACTGCAGCTTCAGTAGGAATAACCTTACCACATTGAACCTCAGTTTACATCATCCCTAAAAAATACTCTGTAACTAGAGTAAAAAGCAAAGGAGATAAAGGACAGCCTTACCTTAGACCTCTCTCGGGATGAAAGTAACCATATGGAGATCCATTGACAACAACAGAAAACCAAACTGAAGTTATACACTTATGAATCCAATTGATCCATTTTTTGCCAAAACCAAACAACTGCATCAGTTTAAACAGAAAGGACCATTGCTACCTTCCTTAGATCTATCTTCCAAGCTATCTAGGCTTTGCCTTTTTAGCACCAAAGCCTCTCATCAATTCATGAGCCATTATAATATTGTCCTGAATCCTTCTATTGTGTATAAAGGCTGTCTGTTCTTTGCCTACAATTCTTCCCAAAACATTTGCAAGTCTATTAG